CACTCTCCCTTCCATTCAGGTGGGATGTTTACCAGGCATGATTCTCATTCAGGAAAGTTGAAATGGGAAATATATACACAACTCGCTTCCCAGCAAACTGTGTCCAAGAATCTGAAGTGTAATGAAATACAGACATATTAAGATCAAGTACAGCGACTGCTGTCAGTTTCCCCACACAACCACCTTTTTCTTTAAAACAGTGATAACTTCAGCAATAGAAACTAAGGCATCTTTATACCCATATCAGATTCTCTCCTTAGCTGCATTTCTCACCGGGTGGCCTGTTGGGAGGCGGGGGGTGGTGGGGAGGTATTAGTCTTGTAGAGTATACGTCTGAGGGTGTAATGCTCTAATTGGCATGTTAACAAGAGGCAGCAGCCAGCCAACTGGGCTGATTTCAGAGGCTAATGTGGGCTGGCCCTAATTAAACCTTGGATGTGAGACCACGAAGAACTGCCAAAATGTTGGCCAGATGAGGAAATTGGGAAACCGTCCTTGGAAGAAGACGAGGGAAACCAGTTCCGCAACACAGCCGTGAAGACTGCACGAATAATATCCAAGTGGGCTCCCACAACGCTCCCTGGAGTTCGTTCCTCGATTATTATAGAGTAACAGAGTTGGAAGGGTTTTCCAGTCCAACGCCGTGCTCAAGCAGGAGACCCTCTACCAAGAGCCGTGGTGGAGCACTGGTTAGAGTGCAATACTGCAGGCTACTTCTGCTGACTGCTGATTGCCAGCAGTTCAAGTCCCACCGGCTCAAGGTTGACTCAGCCTTCCATCCTTCCGAGGTGGGTAAAATGAGGGCTCAGATTGTTGGGGGCAATAGGCTGACTCTGTAAACCGCTTAGAGAGGTCTGTAAAGCACTGTGTGAAGCGGTATATAAGTCTAAGTGCTATTGCTATTCTGGACAAAGGGATGCGGGTGGTTATGGAAGTGACGTGGCGCTCCCATGTAACACCTCTCCTGCACGAGCTGCACTGGCTCCCAGTGGTCTTCTGGGTGCGCTTCAAGGTTTTGGTTACCACCTTTAGAGCGCTCCATGGCTTAGGGCCTGGTTATTTACGGGACCGCCTGCTGCCGCAAATGGCCTCCCACCGGCCGGTACGCTCTCACAGAGAGGGACTCCTCCAGGTGCCGTTGGCCAAACAATGTCGGCTGGTGGTCCCCATGGGGAGAGCCTTCTTTGTGGGGGCTCCTACTATCTGGAACGAGCTCCCCCCGGAGATACGGAGGATCCCGGATCTACGCACCTTCCACCGCGCTCTCAAGACCTTTTTATTTCACCAGGCTGGTCTGGCCTAACCTCTCCCATTCTCTTTTTAATGTAAATTTTAATTTAAATTTTAATTTGTTCTTAACCTGGGGTTTTAAATTTGTCTTGGGCTAAATTGATTTAATTCGATTTTACTTCTGCTCTTAAATTTTTGTATTCTATGTGTTATCTTGTGCCTGTTCACCGCGCTGAGTCCTTTGGGAGTAGGGCGGTATATAAATCAAATAAAATGAAAATGAAATTAAATGTCTGTTTTTTCCAGTTCCCTTTCTTTGGTACCCTGCCCAACCAATGTCTTGTAGGCACAAGGATCATTTAGGACCAGTGACTATTCCCACCTGGGGGTCTCCTAGGTCTCTCAGCTGCTCTTCCCTCTCCTTTAAGAGAATGTCAAGGCAGCCCCTCCATCTACAGCTAACCTTCTCCCAGGGCCTTCTGTATCTGCCCACAGCTGCAGGCTCCTGCGTGATTTCATTACAAAATACAAACAGACCACAATTATTTACAAGATGAAAAGCCAGAGTAGAACTGATGTCTGTTTCTGGAAGAACCGAAATGAGAACAAATTCCTCTTGGTTGAGAAGGAAAATGGGACTGTGTCCCTTTCACTGGCTTTCTCTATTTCTTTCAACCCATCTGCATGCATTAAGTTTGCTACAAGCTGAAGCAAGAAATCACCTACTCCAAGACGCATCTGAGGATACCTTCATCCTTGTTTATAAAGGCTAATATCTCTCAACCATAAAAACGTGGGAGCAATAGACAATAAAAATATGGATTTATGGATCGTGGTGAAATCAACTGCACCAATATTTACAGCCCGTAATCAACATTCTAGCAGTCATTACTCAAGGCAGACCCTGAACTGTTAATGTAATATTGCACTGTTTCTGCCCCAGAAAACACAACATGTGTGTGCTTCAGCACCTCTGACGGACAAAAGGACAGTGGTTTTAATCATTCTCGCTTAAAAACATAAACACACATAGCCAAAGTGAAGTCTTTGTGGTTCTTAGGCCACCTACTTCAACAAAGGACCGGAGACTGTTTATGACAGGACCAGTAAAAAAATAATAATAATCTCATTCATCTGACCCAGGTGAATCATCGATGTCCACAAGATCAGTGGGACAATAGACTTGTTAAAACGTCTTAATAAAAGCCAGGAGGTTGGGACATTCCTTATCTTGTGCGGCGGTGTGTTCTAAAGAGTGGGAGCTGCTACTGAGAAAGTGTGTTGCTGAGCTCCCACCGTCCTTACCTCTTGTGGGAGATCAGCATACCTTCCTTCGGTAATTGCATGGGACAGAACGAAATTGAGTGGGACAGGCCCACAGTTAGCTGGCTGCAAAGCCACGTACGGCTTTAATGATGATAACCAGCGCTTTGGTTCAGACATAATAACTAATGCAACTATTGCCTCACAGGAATAACAATGCTGATTACACGCACACACACACACACACACACACACACAACCAGTTTGCAGCTAAACCACTACATTTTGTGCCACCAAATCATCAAGGGCAGGCCAATTTGCAATGTTTAGTAGTAATGGTCTATCCATATACATTGTTGAGGATGAGTCATTATTGTTGCGGCATCTTAGCGTAAAATTATATGCAACTGGCACGCCAGCCAGAGCTGGGCAACCCTCACCACGCTCCACAAGCCATGGTGAACACCTTTCGCTCTAGCAGGGACTGAGAGTCCTGGAAGATGCATCAGATGTTCCAAAAATGCATCAGACGCTGGAGTAATTACAAGTACAGCAGCTCCTCTCGGCATACACCCACTAGAAAGGCCCAATCAGAAAGCAGTAGTATCATGCCCCCGAAACCACCATCGATCCAGGTGTCCAGTCAGATGCCATTGTCAATGTTATAGAAGGCCTCCAAGACAAGCCATAGGACACATTCTCTCCTTAGCACTCTCTGATACAGTCGTAATTTGAATAGCCTTAGTTCCCTGAGGCCTTTGAACTCTGGTGCTGGAGAAGACTCCTGCGAGTCCCTTGGACTGCAAGGCGATCAAACCGGTCAGTCCTAGAGGAGATTAACCTTGACTGCTCTTTAGAAGGCCAGATCTTGAAGATGAAACTCAAATACTTTGGCCACCTAATGAGAAGGAAGGACTCACTGGAGAAGAGCCTAATGCTGGGAATGATGGAGGGCAAAAGAAGAAGGGGACGGCAGAGAACGAGGTGGCTGGATGGAGTCACTGAAGCAGTAGGTGTGATCTTAAATGGACTCCAGAGGATGGTAGAGGACAGGAAGGCCTGGAGGAACGTTGTCCATGGGGTTGTGATGGGTCAGACACGACTTCGCAAGGAACAACAACAAAGTTCCCCGAATAATTGTTTATCTTTGCACAAAATGCTAAGCCGTAAGCCATGATTTGAAACCACAACTTGCTAAGATAGAACGAACAGGATGCCCATGGTTTACAGCGACACATGGACCCAGTCTCTCACCCCAAAAAGACCACTGGGGCGATGGATGGATTCTGTGGACAGCCTTAGATGAGGCCGAGAATAGCCATTCACTAGTCATTTAGGATTTGAGCCAAACATTCTCAGTCCCCGCAGTGTTGTTCCTTCCCTCAAGTAGTCTAATTCAGAGTTAGTGGAGAACCAGAAGGTCACGCCATATTCCAATTTACCAGTGCCAAGACCTCCCTATTCAACACCTTTAAAAGTAGATCACAGGATATTTTAAACCAAGAGTACTACACAAATTACTTGATTCACGGCCCAGCTATGTACAACCGGGGAATGCAGTATCACTGAGGACCGTGAAAACGTAATCGGAGGAATAATATTTCTCTATCAGCAGGGATGCGAAAAAGTCAGATTTAGGAAGGTTCTGGAAAACTCCAGAAAGTTCTTTTTTTTTTTTTTCCTCCTCAAGCCATGCTGAGCTTCCTCCAGACCAGGCAAGTCCAGAGATAAATTGTCTGAACTAGAAACAGGTCTGTGTTTCCCAGACAGTGTTCTACAATGCTCAGAAATGTTCCTTTCCTGAATCACAAAAGTTTTGGCTCAGGAAGGGAACTTCGCACACGTTCCTTCTTCACTCTTGTAATTAACATTTCCATCATGAAGAGGCAATGCCTACTGACCCAGATTGTCCTTCCCGTTCTAAAAATATAAACGATAATTGAGTCAACTCTGGGAAAAGATCTCTCCGCAAATGTCCAGAGGCACACTTCAGCAAATGTGTTTTCGGTTAAAAACCAAAGCAAACGATACCCTTCAAAGAACATCTCGAATCTCACCAGGCTCAAGGTTGACTCAGCCTTCCATCCTTTCTAAGGTAGGTTAAATGAGGACCCAGTTTGTGGGGGCAATAAGCTGACTTTGTATAAATATACAAAAGTATGAAGGCTATTGCTTAACGCATTGTAAGCCGCCCTGAGTCTCCGGAGAAGGGCGGTATATAAATCAAATTTAAAAAAAAAAACCAACATGTAATATTCAGCTTTCAAGGTATATAGACAACCAGCAATTTCTGAAATTTAAGGATCGAACTGCAATATCCCATAATGAGAGAGTGTTGCTGATGTGTGCACTTTACATTTTTAATTCTTGTTATGGTTAACCAATGGAAGGGGAAATCATTACCATCAGCTCATGGGTCCCAGCCTCAAAGCATCCTTAAATATCCTTATTTTGGACATTCAAGACTGAGAAATTCCCAGAACATGTTAATTAAAAATTGTACCTACCATTTCTGACAGGTTTTTGGAAAACTGGAAGAAGAAAAAGTGTCCACTTTATGTTTCTCTGCCATTATGTTGACGCATTTGCTTCTTGCTGCCTGATTCACCATGAATTCTGGTCTGTTGCTTATTTCCACCTTAAAAAGAATAAAAATAACAGGGTTCAAATGTGGTCAGGTTGCACAAATACAACTGGAATTGGGCTATTTTTCCAAGAGGGGGAAAAAAGAAAAACCTAGCAACCCAAATAAAATTTACTCATTAGTAGATAGATTGCTTGTCTTTGTATTCAATTAGACGGTAAAGATCAAGAGCAAATTCACTGCTGCTCATTTGTCCAAAGCTTCTGCATAAATGGTGCGTCTTTTTTGTGTCAAATCAGAGAGAAGAGTTCAAAGCTTTTGGTGACTTTCAAATGAAGATATATGGATGTGCCGTAGTTTTAACTAAGTCATCGCTGCTGTAAATACCAATCACGCTTTTAAATAGATTTAAAACTGAATGAAATGAAGCCTGAATATTATCCAACCACATTTCGCTTCCTGTTCCTTGGAAGTCTCCCAGTGAGGTAGCAATCGGGGGGGGGGGGGGGTTGCCTTGGAATGGGGAGGACCTCTGAGGAACCCAGAGGGCATCTGTTTCAACAGCTTCCCTCTCAAACTGACACCATTTGTTTGAACTCACTTTTAGTGATCCTTTTTCTTTCCGATTTTAGAAATGTTCTACATCAGCGGTCCGGCCAGAGGCGGGGGGGGGGGGGGGGGGGGAGGGGGGGGGGGATGGTTCTGTGTGAGCGGCAGGCATATCCGCTCGTGCGCACAGCTCCATTTGTGTGAGCACCCGCTGCTCACACAAATGGACTTTTGCAAGCACGTGTGCCCATCGCTCGTGCAAGTGGGGCTGCGTGCACACCCACGCTCACCCGCCACTCGTGCAAATGAAGCTGTGTGCACACACTCGCCCACGACTTGGGCGGCCCGGTTCCAAACAGGCCTCTGCACGGGGGTTGGGGACAGGGGTGGGCTGCTGGGGGTTGGCAGGGGTTAGGGAGAACCTCTACCTAAGATTCGGTGCAGTTCGGAGAACCCCCAAATTCCATTCCTGGCTGGCCCCACCCCCCACCCCACCCAGGAGTCCCCACGCACCCCGTTTTGGATGCAGATAAGTGCACGGCGCATGTGGAGGCTCGGGGAGGGCAAAAAACAGGCCTACTATAAGTTCGGGAAGGCTGGAAATAGGCCCGTTTCCAGCCTCCCGAGGGCCTCCGGAGCCTGGGGAGGCTGTTTTTGCCCTCCCGGAGGCTCGAGGAAAGCCTCAGGAGCCCAGGGAGGGCAAAAACGCCCAACCCGCCACTATGGTGGAGGAGGCCGACTAGGCCACGTCCACCATGGCCACACCCACTCAGCAACCGGGCAGAGAACCCTTTGCTAAAATTTTTGAAGCCCACCCCTGGTTGGAGACCCCTGTTCTTACATAACGGCTCCCTTCTGAGTTCCCTTTAAAGGGAGGGATATTGGAAATTTCTGAACAAAATTTGTTATCTGTTCCATAGACTCCCTGACATGCAGGTTAGCTTTACTTCTATAGTAAGAAAAAAAACAAAACATTACAAGTAGTTCTCGACTTACAACAGTTCATTTAATGTCCATTCAAAGTTACAATGGTATTTTTTAAAAAAGTGACTTGTGACCTTTTTTTTTGCACTTATGACCGTCGCAGCATCCCCAAGGTCATGCGATCAAAATTCAGAGGCCTGGCAACGGATTCATATTTATAACCATTGCTGTGTCCAGGGGTGTGTGTGTGAGTCATGTGATCCCTTTTTGATCCACCTTCTCGCAAGCGATGTCAACGGGGAAGCCAGATTCACTTAACAACCATGTTATTAACTTAACGGCAGTGACTCACTTAACAACGCTGGCAAGAAAGGTCCTAAAATGGGACAAAATTCCCTTAAGAAATGTTTCACTTAGCAACAGAAATTTGGGAGTCTATTATAATCGTCTGTATTTGTAAATCACCATGACTGGATTTAATAAATGAGCTTTCCAAGGTGCCCAGGACTCCGATTTCTTGCTCTCTCTCAGTACCAGTAGCAACACGTACTACACCGTAACACAATTTGCCTCACAGAAACTGAACCAATGAGACTTCCTCTGACATGAACCATCATGAAGGAAGCTCCAATTTGGACGTGTCATCTTGCTGCTACAATTACAGTTACTGCTGCTGCCAAGCCAAACCAAAACACCCCTTCACAGCCAACGGAGGCGGCAAAACCAGAGTAATTATCCAGGGAGTGAGAATGGGAGTGGTTGCAGAATGAAAACAAGACCTGGCTAGATGTTAAGACTGATTTTTTTTAAGGTGGCATCCTCCATACAAGTCTTATTTATGCAGAAGGCCTGGCTACTGGATTGCCTTCTTAGGTGATGCTTTTCCACGAGGCGTCGCTTGGCGAGTGGGTGGCCAGAGGAGTTGAACAAGTAAATAAACTAGTCCAAACCTGATGAATTTGAGCAAGCTGCCACGCCGTAAATAATGGCTTGCAAATTGGATTCACACAGCACGCAAACTGCATCATAGCTTAGCTCTTTGCAGAAACCTACCAGTAGTCTATAGATCAAAAACTAAAGTAACTACTACCAGGTTCCTATGCATACTGATACAGAAATTTGTTTGCTTCGGACTTAAAATACCGAGTTGTAAACCATGGTGCCGAGAGCTCAAAGCGGGTGTCCGCGCGAATACACGCACGCGTGCCAGAACCCCCAAAATGTAATGCGAGCGGCCCCGTTGATGTGCCACTCCCCCCCCCGCACCCCATTTTGGCTTCCAGGTTGGTACAGGAGAATTTCCAGGTCCAAACCAGGGCTGCACCAACCTGGAAGCCAAAATGGGGTGCGGGGCACTGCGCGAGACCCCCCTGCACCACGTTTTGGGCCTGGAAAGCCTCCTGCACCAACCTGTACCCCCCCCGTGCATGCATCCCACCCTCCCACTGCGCATGCACATCCTGAGCATGTGCTCCACCCCCACGCATGCGAGGCAGAGTCCCGAAGACCAGCTGGCCAGAGGGAGGCGCGCGCGCAAGCGCGGTAGAGCTGGGCTGGGGCGACGGCTGGCGTGCCTGCAGAGAGGGCTCTGTGTTCCACCTGTGCCACAGGTTCACCATCACGGGCCTAGAACAAAGTGTGAATCCAGCCACAGCTGGCTCAGTCAACCTATATTTAGCACAAGGGGTGAACCAGTCTGCATTTCCAAAGATGAATTCATGCAAAGAGATCCTACATCTTTATACCGTATGTAAATAAATTATCCTTTTTGTAGGAGCTCTTAGCTATACTTAATTATAATCTTGAGTATCTACTTAACTATGTAATACTTTAGTTCCTTTGCATCCAGTTTGTGACCAAATCCCTTTTGATCTGTGTTCAATTTCCTAGCTCTACATTATAAGCAAGCAATAATATAAATCAAGCAAACAATAATATAAATATTAACAAAGGCCTATCTTATAAGTTAGAAGGACTCTATAGTCGTTACAAGAGGAGAGTTCTAAGTGATATGGCAGAATGCCTCGACTTACAAAAAATAAATTAAAAAGCTCCCAACACCCCGTATTCAGGTAGTCCTCGACTTATGACCAAAATGGAGCCCAAAATTTATGTTGCTAAGTGAGACATTTGTTAAGTGAATTTTGCCCCATTTTACAACCTTTCTCGCCACAGTTGTTATCTCTGCAGTTCTTACATTAGTAACACGGTTGTTAAGTGAATCTGGCTTCCTCACTGACTGAAGGTCGCAAAAGGGGATCACACGGCCCGGGGACACTGCAACCGTCATAAATGTAAGCCAGTTGTCAAGCATCCAAATACAAATCACATGACCACAGGGATGCTGCGACGGTCATAAGTGTGAAACATGGTTGTAAATCACTTTTTTCAGTGCCGTTGTAACTTCGAACAGTCACTAAGCAAACTGTTGTAAATTGAGGACTATTTGTACTGTCCTTCTACAGAAGTTGAGGAGAAAAATATCAATTAACCTACGGGAGAAATATTGCAGCTCCTACCCTATTGCTCTTTTACCTCTCCATAATAGCCTTACATATAGAAATAGTATTACTATCCTATGAAGTCAGTTTGATATACAGGTAGTCTTTGACTTACAACTGGTTGCTTAGCAACTGTTTGAAGTTATGATGGACCCCCAAACAGTACTTACAACCTGGATTTAAAGTACTGATAGCTGCCCACTCACCAAATCACATTTTGGGCAGCCAGCAATTACCTTGTATTTACAGCTGCTTGCAAATGGCTGTGATTTACAGCTTTGTTTTGTTTGGCCAGAAACTGGGATTTACTGCTGGTTTCCAGCAAAAAATGTCCATTGTGGACCATGGCTTCACTCAACAACAAAGGTGTTTGTTTAATGGCTGCTGTGTTTGCTTAATGACTGCCCCCAAAAATTTGGATTGGTCACGTGAGTGCCCCAACCTACAACCATCATGACATACAACGGAAATTCCGGACTCCATTAAAGTCGTAAGTCAAGGAGTATCCATAGTGGTAAAGGTGCTGGCCTAGAAACTTAGGCCTGTGAGTTCTAATCCTGCCCTCACTGAAAGCCTGTTGGATGACTGGCCATTCTCTCTCAACCCAACCTACTGTTCAGGGCTCTTGTTGTGGGGAAAAATAGGAGGAGAAAGGAGTATTATATATGTTTGCTGCCTTGAGTTACTTATAAAGTAATAAAGATGGGATATAAAAATTTAAAAGGCCGAAAGTAATTTTTTAAAAACCATATAATCCAGATGTCTGCTGGTCTAGCCAAACAATAAAAGCTGCGGTGTGAGCTCTTAAAAGAAGTATTTCATTTCCGTATATCACAATAATTCGTAAAAAGCTCAGTACACAAGAGCAGTAAGTAAACAATTGATTAAATCCACTCACCCCCAAAAAAAGAAGAAAGAGAAGCTTCGGCATAAAAGGCAAAAGAAGCAAAGCTGCCAAAAATACAAGGTTCTAAATTAGTAAATAAAAGCTAGACTGCGCTAAAACAAGATGTTTTAGGTACAAAAAACAAAATCTGAAATGCCAGCTAATGTTTTTTGGCCGTTTCTTGCTCCGTTTTTTTAAAAATAACTCATTTAAATAGTAAGTGTTAAAATGAACCAATCAATAAAATAAGGTTTATAGCAATGTTTGTAATATGGAATTACATCAAGAGACTCCATAATTTTGGCACTAATGAAATCCTTTTGTGCCAGAGGGTGGCAAGGACTGAGAGACTACAGGGAAAATAACAACAAAACAAAGAAACAATCTATTTACGGTCCCAAGCAGGTAATAAGACAGATGTTATTCAACCAGATATTACGAAACCTAAAGGTACAATATAATTACTGCTTTGCATCCACACCCATCATCTTTCCAAAGAGGAATTCTGAAAAAAACCATACAAGGGAAACAAATGATCAATGTTTAAAGTGAAAGCAAACAGAGAATCCTTTAAAAAAAAAAACCCTCAATTCTGACACACACATACACATAACAACTGTTGCTGCTGTCTATAAAAAAATGACTTTAGGCATATTTAATGGGGGGGGAAACATGTGAATAAACTCAAAAAGACAACCTTATACGCCATTCATCCTTTCGTTACTGCAATTTGTCACAGTCCAGAAATGTATAACTCGTGACATGCTAACAAACTAAGGGTAAAATTAAATTTCATTTATCGGTTGTCCGTGTCTTGGCTCAGCGGATAGTTGCTGACAAAGAAATTTGTGACAGCAAAGAGAGCTCCAACCCAACCATCTCTTAACCCCGCTGAATAAAATAGTGGACTCAAGGCATTCAAGAGTTACAAGAAACTACCACGGTTTGTGTCACGAAGTTATGCCGATTTCAAAACACTTACCGGGTCTCTATAATGCACCCTCCTGCCCTTCCAAGGGCTTTTAGACCGTCCCAGAAATGCCTGAGCAGGTGACCATCAGGTAAGAGAGTAAAAGTCATTTGCAGAAAGTAGGGTTTGGGTTTTTTTTCCTTATAAAAGGAAACAGTCACACCTCCAGGTTGATAGCAGAAAAGTTCAGCGAGTTGGGCTTGGTTTCAGTGGCTTCTGCTAAAGCCATAACTACCTCAAGGAAAAAAAATCCACCTCCTTCTATTGTGCACGTGACTCACACATGCAGGCAAGGAAGTTCTTATGTTGTTGCCAGGGTGGCAGAAATCTCACCGACGCTCCTATAAGAAGTTGCTTTTTTCCTCCACACGCACGCACAGAATACGGTTCCTCAAGCTCCTTTAGCAACTAATTTAAAGGCAATTTCTTTAGTTGGACTTTGGCTGGGAAATACAAAGATGCCGCCTCGGGCAAAGTCCAAGCCTCTGGCAAATAGGCGCTTAATCCATAAACATAATCTCTAAACAAATTTTGGATTCACAAAGGTCTAGCAGAACAGATCTCCCCCCCCCCCCTCTTCTCTTCTGACCACACAGCAGTTCCCAGTTGGTCCTAAGAGGTCCCGCAGTTCTCCTAAAATCTATGAACGGCCCTGAGCATTTTTCACGCCAGTAACCATACATTAGGATGCACTCAAGATGCATCCTTGGGCAGAAATGCTTTTCAATCTTTTTTTTTAATTCCGCTTTATTCCGAGGCTGTGCCACAAACGTAGGATGGGCTGCAAGCAGTGGGGGAATAAATGAAAAATTTAAAAAAACAAAGAAACCCATTCCTCTGTATTTAGCCCACAAAGGAAGAAAAGGAAGGATGGGAAAGGGAAAAAAACAAAACAACACGCACTGATGGTAATATGGATTTAATGTTCATTTCAGCTTGGAAAGAGGCACAAAGATTTTAGTTTCTCTCTCACCTGCTATATCAATCGGCAGGAGTCTGGTCCTTTCTTTTTCAACTTGCATGTTTTATTCAAAGACAAAATGACACACACACACACACCAGTTCTCTTACTTACAATATCCCCCCGCCCCCTCCCCAAAATAATTCCAGTGAGAGTCACAGAATCTAGCAGGTCCCACCTGGTGGAGCCCAAATCAGAGCCAAAGTCAGAGGAGGAGGTCCCCATGAGCACATCCAAACCCTCCCCAGGCTGGGTCACTGGATCCCCAGCACTTGGATCCAAATCTGTCTGTCCTAGGAAACTTCTTCCAATGTCTTTTTCCATGTTCCGGTTTTCAGGAGCAGGAAGAGGTCTGGCTTGACCTGTGGGACATCCTCTCCCCTCCCAAGGTTAAATCTTCCCAATGCCTTAGTCCTTCCGTTGGGAATTCCCCAGAAGTGACAGTCTTCCTTTTCTCCTTCTCCTTTTCCTCGTCTTTTTTTCTCTTTTGCTTGTTCTTTCTCCTTCTCTTCTTACTTTCCTTTCATTTTCCCTTTCCCCCTTGTCTTCTTTTTTTCCTTTTCTTTTCCTCTTTCCCTTTTTTTTTTCTCCTTTTCTCCTTTCATTTTTCCCTTTCCCCCTTCCTCTTCTTTTTTCTTTTCCTCTTCTCCTTCGTTCTCCTTCTCTTCTTACCTTTCTTTCATTTTTCCCTTTCCTCCTTCTTTTTTCTTTTCTTCTCCTTCTTCTTTCCCTTCTTCTTTTTCCTTCTCTTACCTTCCTTTCATTTTTCCCTTTATCCTCTTTTTTCTTTTCCTCTTTTTTCTCTTTCCCTTCTTCTGTCTCCTTCTCTTCTTACCTTCCTTTCATTTTTCCCTTTCCCCCTTCCTCTTCTTTTTTCTTTTCCTTTCCTTTTCCTCTTTCCCTTCTTCTTTCTCCTTCTGTCCTTACTTTCCTTTCATTTTTCCCTTTTCCCCTTCCTCTTTTTTCTTTTCCTCTTCTCCTTCTTCTTTCTCCTTCTCTTACTTTCCTTTCATTTTTTCCCCTTTCCTCTTTTTTTCTTTTCCTTTCCTTTTCCTCTTTCCCTTCTTCTTTCTCCTCCTCTCCTTACCTTCCTTTCATTTTTCCCTTCCCTCCCGCGTTCCTCTTCTTTTTTCTTTTCCTCTTCTCTCCCTTTTCAGGTTCCCGAGGCTATCTACTCGCGCCCGCCTTGCCAGGCAGCAGGGCAACAGGTGCAGCCTGTGAGCCGCACGGCGAGAAACCGGAGCGCCGCTGAAGCCCCCCCCCCCCCCACTCCCCCTGGCCGCCTCTCCTCCTTCCCTCCCTCCCTCGCCCGACCCGCGCGTTCACACGTACCCTTGTCCCAGCGGAGGCTCCGTCTAGCCGACCCGACAGCGCCGCGGACCCCTTCGCTCGCGCGCTCCCGCCTTCTGGGTCGCGCGACAGCTCCGGAAGTGAGGTCGCCGCCGGCAGCAGCAGCAGCAGTTGCAAGTAAGCCGGGCGCGCGCGCGCCCCCCTCCCTCCCCTCCGCTCCCTCCCCCGTGGCACGTAACGCGCAGGCGGCAACACGCAGGCACGCACGCACGCGCTCCCGGCCCCGCCCACTAAAGCTGGGGGGGGGGAGAGAGAGAGAGAGGGGAAGCGGGTTGTTCTGTGGGGAAGACCCGGGGAGGAATCCGGAGAGCATGCGGCGTCTCTGAACGAACAGCGCGCATGTGCAAGGCCGGCGCGGAATGGTGGGGGGCGTGGATTTTTAGCTGAGTTGCAATTATGGAATAGAATAGGAATACAATAGAATAGAATAGAATAAGAAAAAATAAGAATAGAATTAGTATTTATTCTGCTTTTATACATAGAATAGAAAATAGAATAGAATAGAATAGAATAGAATAGAATAGAATAGAATAGAATTAGTATTTATCTGCTTTTATGCATAGAATAGAAAATAGAATAGAATAGAATAGAGAATAGAATAGAATTAGTATTTATCTGCTTTTATCCATAGAATAGAAAATAGAATAGAATAGAATAGAGAATAGAATAGAATTAGTATTTATCTGCTTTTATCCATAGAATAGAATAGAGAATAGAATAGAATTAGTATTTATCTGCTTTTATCCATAGAATAGAAAATAGAATAGAATAGAATAGAGAATAGAATAGAATTAGTATTTATCTGCTTTTATCCATAGAATAGAAAATAGAATAGAATAGAATAGAGAATAGAATAGAATTAGTATTTATCTGCTTTTATCCATAGAATAGAAAAAGAATAGAATAGAATAGAATTAGTATTTATCTGCTTTTATCCATAGAATAGAAAATAGAATAGAATAGAATAGAGAATAGAATAGAATTAGTATTTATCTGCTTTTATCCATAGAATAGAAAATAGAATAGAATAGAATAGAGAATAGAATAGAATTAGTATTTATCTGCTTTTATGCATAGAATAGAAAATAGAATAGAATAGAATAGAGAATAGAATAGAATTAGTATTTATCTGCTTTTATCCATAGAATAGAAAATAGAATAGAATAGAATAGAGAATAGAATAGAATTAGTATTTATCTGCTTTTATCCATAGAATAGAAAATAGAATAGAATAGAATAGAGAATAGAATAGAATTAGTATTTATCTGCTTTTATCCATAGAATAGAAAATAGAATAGAATAGAATAGAGAATAGAATAGAATTAGTATTTATCTGCTTTTATGCATAGAATAGAAAATAGAATAGAATAGAGAATAGAATAGAATTAGTATTTATCTGCTTTTATACATAGAATAGAAAATAGAATAGAATTAGAATAGAATAAGAAAAAATAAGAATAGAATTAGTATTTATCTGCTTTTATACATAGAATAAATAGAATAGAATAGAATAGAATAGAATAGAATAGAATAGAAATATAATTCTTTATTGGCCAAGTGTGACTGGACACACAAGGAATTTGTCTTTGGTGCATATGCTCTCAGTGTACATAAGGAGAATAAAATACATTCATCAAGAATAAAATGATACAACATTTAGTGATAGTCAAAGTTACTAATAAGCTATCAAATCGTACTAGAAAACATAAAAAAAATATAAATTGAAAGATACGTGCAACAATGTTATAGTAATAAGCGGGAAGAGATAGATACTGGTAAGGAAGAGAAGAATAATAGTAATACAGTCTTAGTAAATTATTTGGCAGTGTTGTGGGAATTTGTCGTTAAGCAGAGTGATAGCAATAGCACTTATATACTGTTTCACGATGCTTTACAGTCCTCTCTAAGCGGTTTACAGAGTCAGCCTATTGCCCCCCAACCATCTAGGTCCTCGTTTTACCAACCTTGGAAAGATGGAAGGTTGAGTCAACCTTGAGCCTGGTGAGATTCAAACTGCCAAATTGCAGGTAGCCGGCAGTCAGTAGAAGTAGCCTGCAATACTGCACTCTAACCACTGCGCCACATTTATTTTCCTCTCTTATATTCCTTCTTTCCTTTTTCTTCTGATCCCCATGTACGTCTCTCCTGCATCTCTCCTCTTCTATGCACGGGGGTGTGGGGGGTGTGGGGGTTAAAGAGTAAAAGGAGGCAGGCCGGCTGATTTATTACAGGTAGTGCACTACCGACGGACACAATTGAGCCCAAGATTTATGTTGTTAAGTGAGATATTGGTTAACTGAGTTTTGCCCCATTTTATGACATTTCTCGCCACAGTTGTTGAGTGAATCATTGCCGTTGTTAAGTTACAAGTTGGAAGCAACCATGCCTGGTTCTCACAATTAAGGCTTTTTTCCTTCTCCAAACTCCACACACCATCACCAAGCTTGCTGCCACAACCACAATTGCTGGCACCAAATCCTAGAGTTGAACTTTAGGCTGCGTGTAAAAATATTTACCTTTGTTGATCCTGGCTCTTTCAAGGAATGATCTGATGTCTAATCTCACCACTTTGTTTACTTGCACCATTCCTGTGCCATGCATACTTTTATGTATTCCTCCTTCGTTTGTTTTTTTTTTTCTATTTGATTTATATGCCGCCCTTCTCCGGAGACTCAGGGCGGCTTACAGTGCGTTAAGCAATAGCCTTCATACTTTTTGTATATTTTATACAAAGTCAGCTTATTGCCCCCACAAACTGGGTCCTCAATTTACCTACCTTAGAAAGGATGGAAGGCTGAGTCAACCTTGAGCCTGGCAAGATTCGAACTTACTTTAATTGCAGACAGCTGGTGTTAAATTACAGTGCTTAGTCTGCAGAGCTATCCAGGCTCTGGATAGCTCTTGTTTTATTTATATCCTGCCTTTATTATTTTTTATGCACAACTCAAGGCAGTGAACATCGCTAATGCTCCTTCCTTCTATTTCCCCCACAACAATAATCTTGTGAGTTGGGCTGAGAAAGAGAGACTGGTCCAAGGTCACCCAGCCTGCTTATTTGGCGAAGGTGGAACTAGAATTCATCGTCTCCTAGTTTCTAATCTGGTGCCTTAACCACTAGACCAAACTGGCCTAAATCCTCAGTTGCTTTATTCTTGTTTGTCTTGTCACACCTTTCCTAACAACATAATCCCCTTCTCAAGGGACCCACATACCCAGAATATTCCTGGCAATGATTTCACCAGAAATGAACCACATGGACAGTTCCTCTTTTAAATTCCTTTCCTTAAGTGACTCCGAGCATGGAGTCATGGTCATTGGGCAGACTTTGTGTCACCACAAAGCATGGCTGCCTGACGTGATCACTTGCAAGAGAAAACATCTTCAAGCCATCCACACCCAAACCACCCCCGAAACCTGCCCTGCCCTGCGTCCTTTGAACTCTGCCCATAAAGAGATGCTGTTTGATAAGCGCCCCCATTAAATTCATTGTACGCCAATGAATTGGTTGGGAGGAAGCTGTAAATATAAACATTCCAGAGAAGACAACTTCTTAATGTAGCTAATGTAAATGTAATTCAATGAGAATAGAAAAGAATAGAATAGAATAGAATAATAAAATAGAGTAGAGTAGAGTAGAGTAGAGTAGAGTAGAGTAGAGTAGAGTAGAGTAGAGTAGAATAGAATAGAATAGAATAGAATAGAATAGAATAGAATAGAATAGAATAGAATAGAATAGAATAGAATAGAAGGAGGGAA